TTGCTCCACAAGCGACAAAAGAATACAACAATCGAGGACGCAGTATGGTTGCAAAGATGTACCTACATCGTACATCAACTTGCCTTTGCTGATGCAACAATCAGATGTCGTAAAGAGATTAGGTTCCAACATGCGTATCAACGATTCCATGATGAGCGCATGGCTTAGTCATTCTGCAATAAACTCAACAGCCTTTCTAGACCTTTCGCGCAAGAACGTCCAGCACAAAGGATTTGATCCGATTTGTAATATTGTCTACTTCATAGTACGTTGATAGCCCTATCGATATACGAGAAGGCTTTTGTTAGTAATTTGCGAAAGCATTAGATACGGAAGCATTGACCGAACAACTGTGCTTTGTGTCAGTCACCAGTGCTATTTACGATGTGAACTTTAATATGAGAACTGTTTACTCTCTGATCTGGGGTCTAAAAGCCTCATACTTTTTGAGTCCCGATAGATTTTCGTTAAATACTTAGGCCAACATATCCCAATTCTCCTGATGAAAATGTTTACGCTTTCCTTTAAAACGGGACATTATCCTAGACCGTGGAAAACTGCGATTATATGGCTGCGGCACAAAGGTAAGGCCTGATACCTTATTGAACTAAGGCCCTACAAATCGCACGCCAATTCCCTCAGGGATATTGCCGAGGATGGTGAAAACTCGAATAGCTTAGCCCCTCTTGTCTAAAGCCAGGCGGGTAGGTTGACAAGGGGTGCACAGAAAAGAAAGCAATGGCTTAGCTCGTTACACGGCAAGTGACGCAACCGCAAGTTCCGAGTAACCCGGACCGGTACGTGTTTAACCTTTCTCGTATCATGCTTAGCACAGCCCAACTGAATGTTTTATCATTCGGTCCTAAGTTTTGATTTCATTGTAAATATATTGAGCAAGCTGCCTTAAAGGTGCAGTTTGAGAGCTTGATAGCACCGGCACGCTACCTGTCACTAAATTCACCAGAGGAAGTTCAGAACATATTATCCAGCTTAGTAAACACCTTCATGACTACATTAAGGCTAGAGCAGCCAGTAGTGGTATTCTTAAATGTAAACTTATGCAGCCACTTAGAGTTATGATTAAACAAAGAGTTAATTATCTCCAAGCCGGATAAATGTTCTGGTGTAGTTCTAATGGATAGGAACTGATTAGGTTCGTAGGATGCAACATCTTAGTAACAAACGCGTTTCGAGAGCTAAGAGTAGAAATGGATAATAGAGGAGAGTTAGAAAACAATTGACCGATTTGCTTTGACAAATGATGAGAGCGAATGTTATCACAAAGCGCGAATTCGAAAAGCCGAGACCTTCAGGCGGACATCTACCACGGTATTACGGAATCCCTACAGTTCACAAGGAGGGCGTTCCAGTGCGTCCCATACTAAATATGGTTAGCTCTCCGCAACGTTTGATAGCTCAATGGATGGTTGAGAAGCTGGAACCGCTACCGAAAACCGTCTGCACTTACTGCGTGAAAGATACTTTGGCATTGGCGACCCAATCCTGAGTTGGATTGACAATTTTCTACAAGAACGAAGGTTAGTGGTGAGAGTCCGAGAATCATTGTCTGATGCAATCGATGTGGCGTGCGGAGTACCACAAGGCTCGGTTCTTGGACGTCGTCTATTCTTGGTGTTCATTAACCATTTGGCGAGATCAATCACTTCCGATTTCCTATTTTTCGCTGATGATATCAAGATATGGCGAAGGATCAGAGAACCGGAAGACCATAAACGACTCCAGTGCGATCTTATCACAGTGTCGAACTGGTCACTTCAAAACGCCCTACCGTTAAATGTAGACAAATGTCGCGTCGTACAATTACGCCATCGTCATAACTATACCTATTCACTTGGGACCAAAGGACTGCATAATAGCTCCCAGGAACGTGACCTAGGTGTGATCCTACAGAGCGACCTCAACTGTTAAAAACAGGCTGAGGTTGCTGCGAAAAGAGGCAACCAGCATGTCGGCATGTTGCGAAGAGCATTCGGAAGATTTGACCTATCAATCTTCCCAATGATGCACAATTCCTACGTGCGCCCGCATGTTGAATACGCTATCCAAGCTTGGCAACCTTTGTTGAAGCGGGACCTAGAAGCGATAGGGGCACCACAACGGAGAGCAACAAAAAACGTGAAGGGCCTGCGCTATCACTCTTACCACCGAAGGCTGAAGTTGCTGGGAATTTTCAGCGGGCGCTATCGAAGACTGCGCGGTGATCTCATATTAGCGTATCAAATACTGAGTGACCCCAACCACGTATGCCGCCATTTGCTGAAACTTAGCCACAAAACGCAGCTCAGGGGTAACTGCTTAAAGTTGAAGGAACAATATAGCCGTCTAGAGTGTCGACGGAATTACGTTTCCCTTCGGGTTTGCAAACCTTGGAACGCACTCCCAGACTCAGTTGTATCCTCTCCTACCTTGGATGTTTTCAAAAAACGATTAGATGTTGCTCTTAGCTCCCAACATTTTGTTACCTAAACTCCCCTACTGTGGATTACGCCAAGGATGCATTACAACAGGATTTATGTATCAAACGGATCTAAGTGAGCGACCATATTTTACTTTGCTCACTCCTTACCTCAATGATCACTGCACCCCAGTGTCTTTCTGAACGTTTACGCTCGATAATTTATTTTAATTTTACACTGATGTTACTTATCAAACTATTCATCTCGGCAGACGTTCGGTAGATGACCCAGACATATTTTGATTTCATCATATTCACCTCAACCAACCTACGGGACGTGTCAAGCACTTGCTTTTATCCCGTGATAAATCATTGTTCATTGTTCATTGTTCATTGAGTTCATTGAGAACATAAGGGGCGTGAACCTTAACAACAAATGGTTGTCATCATTTGATGCGCAGTCGTTGTTTACGAATATTCCGTTGTTGGAAGCAGTGGAATATGTTTACGAACTAGTACGGTAACTGAATGTACCTATAAATCTCCCAGGAAACCTTCTAAAGGAATTGTTAGTCAGACGCACCTTAAATGAGCAGTTCACCTTCAACGGGGAGATGTATCGTCAAACTGATGGATTTACCATGGGATCACCATTGGGACCCTTTCTACCAAACTTAGAGCATAACGTATTAAGAACGCAAATTAACGAAGTCCAGATGTATATACGTTATGTAGACAACACATTTATACTCGGCAAATCGAAAGCACTGGCAAGCATTGTTGCAAGCCTTTAATGATGTGCATCAGAATGTACAATCCACATGTGAGCACGAGTACCCAATTCGACTTCCTTTCCTGGACGTTGATATCATCAGAAACGTCGGTGGATGGCGCAGCAGAGCGATGTATAGAAAATCAACATGGACTGGACAGCACATCAACTTCTATAGTGCGCTACTCCTAGGTTGCAAACGAAATCTAGTACGCACTCCGGCCTTCTGGGCACATAGAATTTGCACACCGGACACAAGCACCAAAGAATTGCAGAGGATCAGCAACGCGCTAAGAGCGAATGGGTATCCAGATAAATACATCCTCAAAGATTTGAAAGAACGCAAGTTAAAATCACCGAGGATGAACGTACCCACGAACTGTTTATGCATATTCTTTTCAAAGGCGACATTGTGGCTGATGCCCTGTCCAAACGCCTGAAAGACGCTGTTAAAAAGACCTAGTTCGCATCTCGCCTACGCATGGCATTTTACCACAAGTCTTTATTCGCAAAACCGTTGAATGACGGGCGGCGTCCGGTGACTCTATCGATGCTTGTTTATCTTTACTCGTGCTCCTGTGGTGCACGATACATGGGTCCTACAACGAAGCGCCCATCTCATAGGATTCGCGAACACATCCCGAAGCGGTTTTACATGGGCGGAACGAGGTCTAGAAACAGCTCCACCTTGTTTCGCCTTCCAGAGTGCAGTCACTCAGGAACGGAAACCGATTGCAGAGTCACCTATACCATCCCTGAATGTTTTTCGCGCGGCTTCCGGAAGCATCAACTGTCTATTGAGGAAGCTATCTACATCCGCCAGCTCAAGGCAGAATTGTGGGTACAAAAATGTTCGTAGGTCCTTTACTTCTACCATGACCTACAACTTCAGCTGTGGTTTCCCCTGCACAAACTTTGCCACCCTCAATGAACGCGTGACTTATTGATTTGTTCCTGTTGGAATTAAACATCCTGATCAATACGCAGCACAATCCGGCACATTTGGCACTTTGTCGTCATCATATAATGTCTGAGTCTGATGAGAATTAACTAAAAGAATACTTTGCTCGGATTTTGCCTCTCTTTATTCATTCAGATTTCAAGGTTAACGCTAAACAGTGAATTACTGCTCACACTGCTCACACTCTATGAAAGAAGAATGCATCGGCAGCCTTAACTTCGTAGCAAGCCTAACTAGGTCAAGTAGATTTGTCTCACGTGTATGAGCTGGATTGAGTGTGATCACAATCGTTTCCTGCAATTTTTACCTTGTTTCTCTTTGTGCAATATTGGTCCAGCTGTCATGTGTCACATACGATCTGTCTAGTATAGTGGGTATCGCGTGGTCGTCCATGGTCGTGTCATCATGCGAAGTAGGAAATGGTATCAAGAACCGGCTTACGTTTTTCAACTGATAAGCGTGCGAATTTGTCTAGATTTTTTTGAATTTCTGCTTTCCTTATCCAGAATGATTGGTGCAGGATTCTTATCAGACCTTGGATATATCCCTCATTCGTGATAGTAATTAGTAACCACTGCCAGTCTGTAGTCGATTTATACTTTTTGTTATCTATTTGCAAGCACACCTGTAAGGACAAAACGGGGATCTAAGCTCCATATCGGCTTCAAATTCACAACGGAAGTGATGATTCCTACATTTAAGTGATGACGCACTCGTGTTGCAATGGCTGCTTTAACTACACTGTTTTGTTTTATTCACCATTCTGGACGTCTAAGTATGAAACTTGCAAGCCATGCAGGATTGGAAAATGCTAAAATATTCATCCTTTTATGAAATCATACTGAACTTACAATGGTTTTTGATGGATTCTTCTTTCAGCCTTTCCAGCTTCCAAGGTCCGAGAGTTACAAGCTCCGCATTCCGGATTTCATGCACGCCCAGACTAATAACACCTTCTACTGGCCGGTGACACAGGGAAATCAGAAAATCTGCTTTGATCCGAATTATCTGTGACAAAGTGGAGAGAGACCAAATCAACTGTAATCTGTAAACATTTCCTGCGATGAAAATTCTCGCTTTCAGTAAATTTATCACAATCTGGATGGTAATTAGGTAAAATGAAACACTCACTGCTTTGCTGATGAAAAAATCAAAAGCTTGGCACTATTCATGTCTTAAACGATTCATGCATTCTGCCTAATCAATTCTTTGAGAATTGTAAGTCACGGTGAATTCATACAGCGTCAATAAACACTAAACCATCCTGAGGGCGTAGATTTTGTGTCAAGTGTATTGTATTGATATATGAAGCGAATCACAAACAGTAAAACATTCCTCCTGTAAATACTTTAGGTTAATTAGGTTTACGGTGTAACAACCAGAGAGCAAAAGTACTACCGGTATACAAAACGTTGCTGAAAGTGCTCTTTCTGTGGTGTATGAAGCGTATCTAGGCTTGAAACTTTCCTAAGATGTTCAAATAGTATTCCACGTGTAGCACAATGAAATGAGAAATAAATGAGAAAACCCCCAAGAACAAAAGCATTGCTGCTGACAGCAGGCAAATAAGAGCTCAAGACAAATTAACAACCTAGCCATAAATTTCAGTGATTATCAAGCCTTAATGTTGCTTGCACGTCAAATATTCCCGAAAAATAGGCGCCAGAAACCTCGGCAGAATGGCTGTGGAAAGCGAGGTTCAATTCCTCCCCACGACGCAGCAGCGCCCAGCCACTCCGAGACGCGGCCCAACTGCGCACCTTTTGACAATGGTCATTTGCAAACTACCACCTCTTCGTGGTGACTTTTTTCCCTAACTTACTAACCCATAGCATTGGCCGTGATTCGCCCTTTGTTGGTAGTACGTAACTTCCGGCACGTCAATGTTTTAGCCGGTGACTGGCATCCTGACGTAGCTGGACTCGGTGTGGACCGGTACGAGAGCAGGAAGGCTTGAAGACACTCATCCACGGTCCACACGGCCCTTTCAGTGGTTTCGTACCACTTATCTAATAATTTCTGAATGTTTCCATATTACCGTTCCAGCCGCTACTTTTGGCATACAGTTAACTCATGGGACATTTTGCCAACTGAGCGTTGAGCTTTAAAACCTATCGCTGTCCGATTGTTCGCACGAAATGGCAAAGCACAGATCCGTGTGTCTTACAAAACCGTTGTAGGTAAAACGGTGGGTTGGGGGATGGCTAGGTATCCTGTTTCCTGCAAAGTAGTGAGTGGAAACACCATTGATAAATATATGCTCAAAATGCGTAGGCATAAATATATATATATAGGCTAAAAATCTTTCGCCGCGAAGATAAGGTTAAATCAGGTATAATGTTCTTAACATGAGGTAAAACAAAAATTGTTTTAACTTTCAAGAATTGTATATGCGTTCAACTGCGAATTTAATTGATAGTTAGATAATTAAACCAGCGGGATTCTTGGTGACAATGTATTTCCGGGAATAGTGGATACCTTGTCGATCCTTCGAACGTACAGACTTATATTAAACTTAAGCCGACGCATGTTTACCGGTCTATGTCGGCATAAACTAGGTGTGATTTAATCTTTGGGTATCAGGAATATATTTGGGCTGTAGTAGAAATTACGCACGCCCACAATAACAGCTATCCTTGTAACAAACGTGGACGTCTTTCACTCGCTGATGCATTGTTGTTAGTGGTTAAAACATGCTGGTTAATACAGTTAAATTCATTCTTCTACAGAAAAATCGGAACACGTAAACTTTGAGACTGGTCAGCCATTTCGTGCATGCTCGTCCAGTACAATCATGTAAAACTATGGTTGTACAAAACACGATAGCCAGTTAATTGTTGGCCGATAGTTCCGCCTCGCGCTACCAAGTTTACTTCAGATTTACAGTCATCTGTTTCTGTAAGCAGTTGCCGTTCTCGGTCGATAAAAATGGCTTTCCCTGACCTGATTTTGTGTGGTCACTGATTACTTATTAGCATGGTGAATGACTTATCGGGATTAACGCAGTAACTGGTACTCAGCAAGTGTTTTATTATTGCCGCAGCAGCTGTATTTCTCGATTCACCCGATTCCGCCGTTATTGATCCCATGCAGCTGTGAAATAAACCGGAGATGTGTTTATTGTTTCTGACACCTAAACGTCACTCAATGCGCCTGACGTAGCTGTCTCCGCAACCGATTGGTCTGTATACGCCTTGGGACATGCATTTCTTCCTTATCGGTGTCTTGACGGACCACATATGCAGACGTTCTGTTGACTTGACCAACCATAATGCAGTTGCGTTGTGCGCCCTTTTCAATGAAGCCCTAATGTGTTTTGTGGTAATTTGCATAATATGATGGCACTTTGATAAAGATCTACTTCTTTTGAACATTAGGTGTACGACCCACTTGGTTTAGGTGTCAGAATTACTAAAAGCAGATTGTCAAGTAGTTACGTAGCCGGATGTGATCTGGGGCTATGGAATGGAGTGAACTGCGGAATGAAGCAGCATGGGTAAGCACAAATTAATTACTGAGCACCCTCCACTGAGTCACTCCTGTCCTAATGCGCAATAAGCGGCCCTATATTATCAGGATATTATGGTTAATGCCATCGATCGAGAGCCGCTAATGCTTTGCGTGCAGAAACAGCTGACTGTGGATCGGAACTTGATAGCACGAGGCGCGACCATTGGGTCGTTATTGATCTTATGTGAATGCGTTTCCTATTACTTCAATGTTTGCAGGATTGTAAGTGCCGATAATGCAAGAAACTACATCTTCATCAAACAGTGTACGTCATCTGCGTATCATGTTTAGAAGTTTAAAAGTAAATCCTTGATTCATATTTTAGATTTAATCTGCCAAACATGAACTTGCTGATTTTTGTTCCTGGGCCAATTCTGTTTTAAAAGAAGAATCGTTCACAGCAAAATCGACAGAAGCACAGATTCCGGTATATTATGGCCATGTTTTCTGGTGATAAAAGTCGTAAATTAACCTTCTATTGAGTCAGAAATTACCCTGTGTGTAAACAAGAAAGCTGTTTTTATCTCACGACATATTCTAACTATGACAATTCTTTTTACAGTAAAACACTTTTACAACGGTTGGGCAGCTTAATATTGTACAAACTAGTTGACAAATATGTGCTTGTATTACTTCACAAGTTTGAAACTTATATGACGCTTTGTTGCTTGAGAGGCATTTGTAACAAGTTTGTTACTCATATCCGTTATCCACAATGAGAAGAAGTCTAAACACATTGAAATACTTTTAGATGTATATTTCCCGACAGACCGGAAGGATGCGCTTTTGCGAAACGATCATTTTTATACACTTCTCGGTGCGAATAAAGATAAGCAACTGCTAGTTCTCGCTATACATTCACTTTGCCAAATAGAAGAGTACAAACTTTTACAAATATTGACGTCTATGGGCTGCACGGCTTTAGACTGTTGGCAAAGTTGACGTAGGTTCTGTGGCATAACTTTTTAGAAGGATCTTTGGTAACTTTATGCACGTTGATTGTCCTATGTGGCTTTAATAGATATCCTTATGTTAACCTTGCTTTTCACTATCGAATACCCCAGCAAACCAAGCATTACTTTACACTGTTTCGTATACAGAACGTTATAACTTTCACTAGTTGATATGTTCATAGGTTAACGTCACAATGATAGCTTCTACAGATAATGAAGTTCTCATACATCTGTATCTGGAATTTTCGTTCTAAAAGCTAGACTGTATTGTTTGAGTTTAACTGCCGCAAATATGGGTACACTGCAACTTTGTTCAGCAAATAAGCTGATTTCATTTTATCAGCATCCGAACTTACAAATGAAAATATGTGTGGGGACAAACTGAATAGTGATGGATAGAATATATTTATAAATCATCGAAAAAGATTACCGTACTAAAGTAGGTAGCCTTTACTCTGATATATATATGGCTTGTAATTGAATCAAAGCCTCAAAGCGTGAAACAAATGACCGCACCAATGTCTAGTAGCTATACTGTTCCGGCAATTCATCCCACCTAGGTTTGCTATGCTTTAAAATTAATACGTAGTTAATGATACCTAAATTCAATAAGCACCTCATATTTCTTAGTATTGCGAAACGCATACGATCATTGATTTTGTAAGAAAAGCTAACTTGCAATATGTTAGCCCACTCGTGGATGCTGCTAACGTTTTGCAATGGGAAAGGTGGGTTTAAATTATGTTTACTACTTGCGGTTATTCTACCCAAGAGGAACACTTCTTTTTTTTGGAAAGTAACTTTCAGCTTAACTGTTGCGTTGATTATTACTTCGGTACTTTCATTTTCCACTGCACACATTCAATTCTATACAACAGAATTCCGAATGTACGAAGGTTCGTTGCATGCAATTAGGTATAAACCTGACGAAATACGGTGTTTTTCATTTATTAACGTGCTCAACGAGATAGACGGTCCCACCATAAACATTTCATGGCAATTTCAGATGACACTATCATCGAATGGTGTTATCAGTTTTGCTACAATGCTAGTGAAAAGTAGTAAAGCTCTGCGAATACGGCAACAACTTAACAAGGCACGCGAGCCGCAAGTTATTGTAGTGTCATTAATTTAACATAATAATACGTCGATGAGCATGAGTTACCCGCTTTCTGAGTATTCTACTGCCAACTGTTTGGAAACTTAGCACACATAGTTGAATAGAGGATATTCAACGTTTGGAAACTTCATATACCTATCCTACTAAAGGAGGTTGCCGTTTTACTAGGGATATGATTGATAAATCTGGTATAACCCAGTGCCACTGAATTCAGCACAACATATGTTTGGAATGTACCAAAGTGCATTATGTAAAAAAATTACGGGAACTGATTAAGTAGTAGTTCAGACACATTACGAAGATCAGTAACTCACTGGGTAGGCTGGCTCCAGTTGATACCATCTGAGTGCTTTTCCAAGAAATATTTCTGTTAAGTTGACTTTTACAGACCCATAATAATGCGCTTTTCCCCCGGACCACTTATGCTGGTATTCGTACACATGAACGCAGAGCTCAGCCGTGTTCCCTTCTGGCCAAGGTGTGTCACACAGATAATACCCAACAGGAGCGTCTTCGCTGAAATGCACTACGCCAAACTCACATTCCCTGCAAGTTAGGGAATTTTGCTGGGTATTTGCTTTGCCATGAAAGAAAAATTCCAGCGTGCATGTGGTTTTCTGCCACGGCTTTTGTAACTGCATTCCTTTAATTATCTTTGGCTGAATAATAAGTTTACTAGAAAACGGACTGTCACTCTTTTCACGATTGATTACCATAAGCGCAGCTCCACCGCTTATAGCCATGGTACTTGGAATATGTGCCTTCTCAGTAGCCTCTTCATGTATCTGGCTGGTTAGAAGAGTAACTTTGCTACTGTCGTAGTCGCTCGGAACCTCATTGGTACGAGGCTTGGGCCGCAAAGTACTGTGCTTAAGGGGGAACATGGACGGACGCAGATCGGCAGTTTCACTAAGACTTGACCGTTTGCTTAACAGATATGTTGGCGACTTTGGCGTTTTTGTTATACTTTCCTTGGTTGATTCCGTCGAACCGGCACTCAAAGGAGCAATCTCAGTTTCTTCACAAGAATTAAATCCTGTTATGTAGCTTTTATCATCAGTCCTGCAAGTAGAGAGCTCAAAGTTGGTGGAGGAGGCTCTTCTAGCTGGTAATGAAATCACGGGGCTCATACAAACAGCTCCAGAAGTGGGCAGATTGACACAGCTGTCCCCAACAGTTAATTCATCTTGAACACACGTCACATCTATCTGTGGTAAACCTGCCGTTATCCAGTGAGGCTGACTAAGCGATTCCCTAGGTGAATGCTTAAACTTCTGAGCAGTTTCTGTTGGTTTACCAGACGATCTGACAAGGAATAATAAGTGGTCCACCATGGAGGCTCTCCTGTTGACGGACTTCGCTGGTTGCACATCCAGAAACGCTGTGCTTTTTCTCTGTATATTTTGTCTATGAACAGTAGAAGTTGCTCCATACAACTTCTCGGGTTGAAAACGTAGCGGTAGGTCCGCATTTTCGATCCCGACTCTGCAGAAAGAGTTAGCCCTAATTCTAACTTTGTTGACTTGGTTTGGAGCAGTTTGTTCGTTTTTAGCTAACTTTAAAGACAAAGCCTCCATCGTTAGGTCGGTATAGTAGAAAAGGCGATCCTTTAGTGGCGTGTTTTCTACTTTGCCAAAAACATCCATACTTCTTTGGTAGTTTCGCCGACGCTTTATCCACCAGTTCAATCGGGTCAGTGTCGTGGCCGCAGTGACAACAATCGCAAAAAAGAGAATACTTCCGCCGAATATGAGAAGTAGAAGACCGGCGACTGTTTTGGTTGTGGCAGAAGAAACTGCAGGTACAATCATCGTATTCTGGGTATTGATTTGCTATCCGTTTATCTTGTGTAGTTTAACTGTTTCCAAAAAAAGTAGAATACTGGTACACCAAAATGCATCAAACAATGTAAATATTGTGATGAAATAGTTGAATAGAAGTCAGGAAAATCCTTTGACCATCTGGATTGTCAATTTATTTGTCTTCATTACACCACTAGCAAACTGTCAGATATAACACAGCAATTATATGATGTTTTCTTGCCAAATAATAAATACGTTTTTTTCAGTATGGGCTTTATCAGTAAACAAAGTATTCTGATGGCAATTTTGTTAGAAATTTGTCCTCGTCTTTAGTCAGAATAAAGTAACATACACATGTGAAAAAATGTAAAAAATGTTTATCTAGACGATGGGATTTATATAATGTCAATAAAGTTTTGGTACCTGAAGCTACCATGTCTTCACTTCTAAAAACTTACATAATTGTAAATCTAAGTAGCAATTATTGTAAATATGTCTTTTGTCATGCCGATGGTATACTCGTAGCAGCATGTGTAGACAACCAATAATAATTTGGTTAAATAAGTTGAAAAATATGTCGATTCCAAAACTTCAATTTTCCCGTCATGTGTCGTCTTTTACTAGTTTAACTAAAGCATATGATAACTTTACGTCATCATTGAAGCCTATCAGCACTGGGGCTTGATTTTAAGCTACTACTTACAATACGGTGTTTAAATCGAAGTAAGAAGCTTTGCGTTGATCAAAACGACTATTAGTGACCATTGGATGAAGTTACCTATTTCCTTATTGCACAACGGTCGGAACCTACCTTTCCTTCGGAAACAAAGTTATTGGAAAACTTTTTCCTCATCTAAAATTGCTAGCCTGAATATAGTTGACAGTGGAAACTAGACGTAATCGTAAGATAATGCCAGTCACTATATGTTCTTAGTTTACTGTTTTAAGGGGTAAATTTCACGCAATAAAACAAAGGTTTCATACCATTTTCAGTGAAATATTTCCCTTACTATGTTGCGATGAGGCAGTTATCTCTAATTTATATTCAATGACCAGTTTTCTGGTAGTAAAAGATGATCTCGAAACTCGTCAGTTAGCATGAAGACTAACAGCAGGTAATGCACAATTAGATAATGAAGCGCCTTATAATCGTTTCGGTTGAGTGAAAAATTCCAATGAAGTCATTACATATAATCCGAAATAAACTTCGCTAAAAGTAAGACTTCAAAGAAATAACTGTGATATTGAAGTAAGATTTTATTACTACACGTGAATTGGAATTTCATTGGATGAACTTAACTAGTAAACTTTCTCTTATTTAGCCCATTTACAAGTATTTAGTGAAAATTTTATTACTCTGCATAAAAGCTAAACTTAGTGCTAAGGGACATGAATATTCAGTTGAGACGTACCGAGCAGTATTTACCTTCTGGTTGGTCAGATACTAGCGTTAACAGTACCAGGCGCAGAAAGCTTAAACATTAGGTATTATATCTTGACCAATGAATGCTGTATGGATAACTTCACCCACTAGGAGTGCTTTGAAATGGCAACCAATCACTTTCAATCTCCGGATGAGATTTCCGATTGATGGTACTTCCGAGTCTGTCTCACTATTCAGTCGATCAATCATCCACTTAGCCTAAAGGCAGCGTTAATCGACCAAGACGACGATTGCAATTGGTGAATTGAGTAGTAAGCTTCTATTCCCCAGTCGCACGTACGAATATCTTTATTTTAACACAATGATGGTCAGTAAACAGCGACTCAAATCCGAAGTATGCGAAATGACTTGATGATTTAGGCCATGGATCTAAATTACAATGCGAATTACATATCTGCTCTAGAGGATTTGTGTCCTCAATACCACCAGATTTGTACTTTTTGTCATTAGGTTCGTACAGAATGGGCGATTTCGGTATGGCATTAGAGAAAACAAGGAAACGTTCACAACAGATTAAAGACAATGATGGAATTGTATTAGGAAACATAAAACACATTAATCCGGTCAAGCAAGAAACCAAGTCTAGAAATCGGTTCTACGCGGAGTAGTCCCTTGACATGATTGTCCGCACCACCATACTCCATTTCATTGGGTGTCAGCGCGGCTTAACATTTTGCATCCTGAATTTATTTGCTTATGTTATTAATTTTTATGTCACTAAAATAGATTTTAGTTAGTAATAAACATCAAAGAAAGAAATTAATATCTAGTAAACATTTTTATGTTTATTTTTAAGGTGGTACTTGTAAACGCCGACAGGAACATAGACCGTGAACGCTGTCACCATTAAGATACGTTGCTGAAAGTGCCATTCTTGCAAGTAGTTCTTTTCATGGTTGCACAACAGAAAAACATCACAAAACAGCATTTTGAATGTGGTTTGAAATGGATTTTGAATGGTACACCTTTCATATCTTCCCCTTCTTGAAACAAATATATGCTACTGAGCGCCAAGGTACTGCGTCCTGATGTCTTTAGGCACAGAATACTTGTTTTCCCTCTGTCACTTTGTTTCATTTGGCGATGAAATTATATGGACTGTACCAGGACCTATTTTTGCACTGGCCTGCTCCTAAAACGACAAACCCCATTGCCAAATCTGTTCGAAACCCCAGAAGTGAAATATCATGGTGCATGTCCTTAGACGTCACATTTGTATTGAAATATGTTATTCCCATCATTGTAAAGAAACTGTCTGTTCCTTTGTTGATTTCCCATCATAATCATATGTTGAGCGCAGCATACCTGCTTTGTACACCCAAGGATGAATCGTAATCATGCACTACTTTAGGTGACACTACGTCGGACTTTGTTCCAACTTGCACTTAACGCTTAGCAGTAATTGATTCAGTTCCATGGTAATTGGAACAGATGAACACACTTGTCTTTCCACTGGAAGAACACAATTTCTTGATCTGTAGAACGACAATCAAAATCAGCTATCTCTATCTAATTGTCCACTTGAAGTTTGGAAATATGATTTCATTTGGGACGGACAGTTCCACTGGCAAAAATGTTGTTCACCTTCAGTTGCTCAAATAGTTCCACAGCTGTGAACTAATTATCCATTAACACAACAAAACCACCTGCTTTCAGTGTTCGGATGAGTATGTCAACAACAATTCTCACAACCTAAATCTGTCTATAGACTTAGGAGCATCCAGTGATTTGCATTGATACCCTTCAAACTCATGAATATAACCACTCATATCAAGTCGACACCAATACTACCTACAAAATAAAGATTTCAATAAACACGAATATCAACATATACGTGTATGCCATACTATAAAAGGAGGATATTAATTACTGTTACACATTACATACTTTTTCATGTATAAATCGTTCAACTCTCCAAATGTTTCGTCCCAGCCCATCGCTGAGCACAGTAAAGGCTCTAGATGTTAACGTTACGTTTGACACATTGTACCCATCGGGTACCAATCAATAATTTGGATTAGTATAATGCAGATTACGCTTAAAACTGTAAAAGAAATACATCAACTCATGGCATGTCCACCAAAAAATCGAATAAAAATTAATAGGACTGGCAAGCTGCAAGCAATCTTGCTAAATTCTTACAAGTACAGCAACCACTCACAGTTCTCTGAAACCAATTCCCGACAACCTCGACATAAACAAATTAAACAATGCAGTACACAAAAGTAGTACCAGAAAACAAATGGTTAATGAGAGACGATTTAACTCATATAAGGGCCATATTTTCATAAGGTGGTCACTCAAGTCGGTCAGTCCGTCCATCGTTCATTTAATTTGGGTGAGTATGATGAGTTCCATCACATTTTTAACACATCATTTTGGAGTTAAACGCTGATCTGCTTAGCAATGATAAAGACCATGTGCGTTACTCCTGATATTGAAAATAACGCAAAAGTGTAAAGGTTAAGAATTCCACCTTTCCGTCTTGAAAATCACGTTGTATTGAAAAGGATATTTATCAGACGCTATACAAAATGTCTCTCTACAATTATGCCAAATTCCCTCAAATCAAATCTTAATTGCATAGGAGAGCACCAAATTCGTCCAACCAGATAGACTGCAATATATTGCCAATGTGAGAAAAAATATAACATTCTTTCGTCTGGAATGATAAAGTGGGATCCCCGTTGTCAAATCCCTCGGAAAATTCGCCGCCACTCAGCGCGCATACGAAGAGGAAAACCGTCCAATAGTCGCCCAGAGAATCACGCTGGGTAGAGCACGAATATCTTGAAAGAGTTTATATACATCTGCCTATCAGGAAGCTTAGTCCACAGATAAAATCATTCGGTTGACGCGCAGCAAGATATAGATTGTAATTGCTTTATGAAATATATCTTAAAACAAGAAGCAACAAAAAACTTCTCCATGGATTTCAAACAAAAAAATGGCTTTAATATTTTACTCATCAGCTTTCGTCCGCAATGCAGAAAATTTATTCAAATACACATTTAAAATTGGTCCAAATCCCACTGAGGGGTCAGCCGTGCACCTCGCATGAGAGACCTTACGTACGTGTGCGTACGTGTGGAATGTGTGAGTGGTGCAAAATTTTCGGGGTCATCACGCCAAATGGCCTGAGCGCGACAAGGTGACAGCCAAACGGCGGACATCACACGCGCTTCGCATACGGGGGCATAAGTTCAGTTCCGAAACTTCAAGGTGATTTCACGTGTCTGACTTATAAGTGGAAACGTCCATACGGTTCCGATAGTCCGTCTCTGGTCAGCGGAGTTGTCATTTATGCTTTCCCCAGTTTGTTTGCACGGGAACCGCACGCAGTGGGCAAGGCGAAACATAAAACATCGTCCTCATAGTTCACTTACCAACTTTGTCTTTAATTGGATTTATGTGGTTTGTAACACATTACACATCACATTACGCGCGATGGGAAAAAGAGGAACGTATGCCCGTCATCCGTCCGATGTAAAGTCTCTTATCCTGAATAGGGCAACGAATGGGAGGGCATTAATCCCTGTTACTGGTAAATGTGAAGACAGGTCGAATAGACATGTGAATAAGAACATTAAAATTGTGTGAGGCGACAAGAGATCGAAGCGTGTCGCGTCGAAAGTGTTTGTAAGCTAGTCACGTGGATTGCTTGGTGGAATGTAAAGGAATTGGACCCTACGTTTACCTTGGAAACTCTTTGGTTACTACTGAAATTGGAGTTCGAGGTGGACGTGAGCGTCAACGCAGTCGTTCGCTACCTAGACGGTCGCCTCATGACAATGAAAAAATTACATGCAATACCGGAATCCATGAATACGATGGATAGCAAATGGTTAAGGAAGGCGTACGTATTTAAGTTGATGAAATTTGAGGCAGAAGGACGGCAAGCGGTATGGATAGATGCGAATAACCTGTCACACCTCTCTGGAGCGTATCTTCCAAATGGAGCCTTAGGGTCCAGGAATACTTCTACGACTAGCACCGTACACTCCGCAACTGAACTCACTCGAAGGAATTTGGAGTATCATTAAGGCCAAACCATGAGGCGGTGATATTCCGAAATGCTCCGAGGGGATCCGGATGGCGTACTGAGCCAGACTGATTGGAGGATACAGTTCTTGGAGTAGCTTGTTGCAGAGGCACGTGCCTGTGTGACGCTGCACCACTATCAACAAATGGTGTAGCATATATGAGATACCTATACACGTGCTTTGCACCTACTCAGGCTGTAACCCGTTTAAAACCCCTGATATATTTCTTGTTAACGTCCACTGATGTTTACCCTTAAAAGCAATATGGGGCCACCCCGAGTAGGGCACATGCTTTTTTCAGTTAGAATTGTCTGTAGCTCTGCGGAGGTTCACTCGTGAATAGCAATGATTACCGTAAACTACGATTGCAGTGGGTTCTCGCTGCAGTGATAGACCACGTGTTGTTAACCGGTCGTTATGCAGTACACTGAAAGCTACCGATAGTGCGAAGACATGTTACACGCCGTTCCAACTGACTTAAGCAAAATTGTGCACGTTCCTGGGCGTATGTCATAGATTTTGGTCACCATAGGCGTCGGTAATTTGCTGTATGATCAATGCATACAACCCGACCGAGAATCCCTCCATCAAAGTGGGCTACGGTCAAAGTTCATCTGCTGCTGGTCAGCGCTCCACATAGAGGAATGTGGCCACCAGCCTCACTAACGCAGAGCGAGACTGGCGAAAAACACGGTTTGTTTACACAAACTGGGTTTAAGCCGACTAATTGCATAAGCCTCAGTGAACTGAAGCAGGCAGACGACGCTCTGTTGTTTGATTATGCTAACTGATTCACGAGGGTTTTCAAACATAGAGCACTTAAGCATGTGTCGGAAGATCGAACTGGCAGGTAGTGTTTGACCATTCGCGACCAGCTTTCGAGGAATATGCCCTGAAATCCTTGTGGACAGCGTTCGTTCAGTTTGGCCAACGTACTCGCAACCGCAAGTACAGCGAAACAG